GCTAATGATGATTGTATTTGAATTTCAAATTTTATTTTAAAATATGATTTTATAATTAAATCCATATTTTAAGGGGAAATTGTTGTGGGTAGAAATTCTAACTAGAATCTTATGAAAGATTTGGAGTAGCATGTTAGCCATGATCTTGACCAACATCTTGATCAAGATTTCGGACAATACTAACCATCACATTTGCTCTTTATTTCATTTATCTCTATATTTCAGGTCTTGAACGAGTCAAAGAAGATCCAATCAATTCGTCATTAATGTGGAAAAACATAGCGAAAAGACTTAGCCTTCGAGATTTACGGCATATAAAAGACGTGTTCACCAAGGATCCCGGAGTAGAAGATTATGCTGATATTTTAGGAATCCGACTTATATCCGTTAGTGAATTTATGTATAAATATGTAGATTACATCTCAAAATCAAATACGGTCAATATCTCTATTACTTGTACTATGTAATCATGAACATACGCCACATGTATTCATTTGTTTACTTAATACAAACATCAAATTTGTCCCAGATATTTTTTTGCTCCCGAGGTTTTGTGCCAGCGATCTCATCAGGGATCAAGGGCTTTCCTTGTATCTCTTGTGTCCTACACCTCAGAATCTTTAATATGATTCCGAATACAATAAAATAGCCCTGGCTAATTTGGTTCATTTTCGTTTTGCATATTTTTGACAAAAACATACACTAATAGCGACGATTCATAATTTACTACAAAATATTACCATATTCCTATGTAGGATCTTTAAGGATCTACGCTTTTTTTGTTCGAGAGTATTTGTAATTCTCTATGATTTTATTTTACCATCTTCTCCATATAACCGTTACAAATTTCATATTTAAGAACTTCCATGTAGATTGTGACATGTACTTGTTATTCTCGAGGGTTGAACTAAGCAACCTTTATTTAAGAGGATTGTATTGATAATTGAATGGCTATAATTGATTAAAATAGTACATACATTTCTATCTAATCAAAAATCAACTAATTGGTTTATAATTTAACATTCGACTTTTTGTCTACCTTCACCTTCTTCGAGTGATTCTTTTACTCTGAAAAGACATAATATCCTGCTTCACCTACCGCTTCATCATCTATAGGCGTTTATGTTTTCGTTTCCCTTATTTCATCTTTGATCGTAAGAGGATTATGAGAAGGTGTTGGAAGAATTTTTGGTGTTTCAAAAAATGAAGTTCCATTTCCTACACTGATCACACTTGCCAATAATTTTTTCAATATCCATGTTGTTCACCTGTATGTTTTCGACCACCCACTTTGGATAACAATACAACCTCTCAACATATTCATGTTAATCTATTAAATATTTTTGTTGTGTAATATTATTATTTTTATGATTTGTAAGGTCGCACCTTATGATCTGATGAGTCAAACACTCTATATGCTGACCGCCAACACTAGTGCTAACATCACCACCAGCATCAACGCCTCAAGCCTTATTAGCATCAACGTATAGTTAGTAATCTAATGTACTCTTAGTATATTATTTAATTATACAGTCATATATATAATAGATAGTAGATCTGATATCTTGGTGATAAGGATCACTTCTTAGTATAGATTAGATAAAATCCCTTGATTGAAGAGATATACTAGAACATACTATGAAGTGTTGTACAAGAAATTGTTGGCTCACATGAAGAAGGAAAACATCTCTCTACCAAAAGATTCAATTACAAAAACAAAAAAGATGATCGTGAAATGGGTGGAAGAAGATGAGACATCTAAAGATGAGGGGCTAAATGTCAAGGGTCTAATGGCTCTTAACAATGATTCCCCTAATGATAATCTCAACATGTGTGATGCTGATACCTCTCATGCTATCAAAGGGCACGTCAAATCTAGAACATACTTGGTTCGTTGACAGTGGGTGCTCTAGACACATGATCAATCTCAAGTCCCTCTTAACAGATTTTATGGAGAAAGATGGTCCTATTTTGGTTTTTAGCAACAACAATCAAAAAGCTATCATGAGCATTGGAACATTTGAGTGTAGGACACTGAAGCTGAAGGATGTGTTCTATGTCAAGGGTCTAGAAAGTAGTATTATCTCCATGTGTCAACTTTGTGATAATGGTTATAAGGTTCTCTTTTATTTCCATGAAGAAAAGGTTCTTGACTCTAAGAGAAAAATTGTGCTTACTGCACTCAGGGACATAAACATGTATATGATTTGATTTTGCTTGTTTGGATAATGCTACTTTATTATTTGACTTTTTTTTTTGATATTTTAAAACTTCTGAACATAAGCTGCTAAAATTTTAATTTGCTATGACTTTTGCTTCAAAAATTTTTTTAACTTTTATTTAATCAAAGAAGTATACATTGTACATTTTGCTACTAACATTGCCAATATGTGTTCATCCCTTTCATCCTCTAAAGACTCAGGGTTCTCTATCTCCATCTCGACATTTATCTTAACTGATTTGATTAGCGTATATTCTTTCGGTGCAGTATCTTCAGACTAGAGCTAGTTGAAGCTGATTCTATATCTTTTTTTCAATTCCTACTCCTCACTCACTGTTAATGAGTCCAAATTGTAGATAACTATGCTAAAATATGTTCTTCTTGTCATATATCTCTACCTTCATAGAAAGTCTATCTTTTTCGACATGGGATGAAGTGAAGTTAGGTAGCTTAGCACGTATAATTTCCATAGACACTGTTAGCACTACATTTCCCATCTAAGATCCAAAGATGTCTTCAACTAGACATTGATCCCACCTTATCTTCTTTCAAGGATCAAAAATAGTGGAACCTTTGAGTTTTGTCTTGGTGAGTCTCATAACTCAAAGGTTATAATGATTGGATCATTTTAACTCGTTGGTTACAAAGATTGTTTCATGTTCTTCTCTGTTCTTGGCGAACATAAAGCTTGGAATCAATCTACAATACTTCAACGACTAAAGGCATTTTCTCTCTTTGGTTATATGAATTGTTTTTTAACTTGATATATTTGATCTTGTTTGTTCATTCTTTTATAGGCAATGTTTAGGGACATATTTCTCAGAAAAAGGAAGTTCATTTATGGCACTTCAACTCAAAATCTTTAATTGAATTGGGTATTTGTCTTGTTTCTGAAAAAGCTACAAAAATATCGCTTTTAGAATATTTTCTGGTTTGAATAACTATTTTGTTTGTATTCTTATATTATTTAGTATTTTTCTTGTATCATTTTAAAGAATTTGATCATGGCAGTTCATAATCCAAGTATGTAACTATTGGCAATTCATTATCCCTAGAAGCATGTTGTTGTATGTGCCTAAATCTTACTAAGTATTTCATCAACGAGACCATTAGTTGAGATGACATTGAGTCACCCCTTATGCTGATTATCTAGCATCGTCTAAACTTTCTAAATGAGATTGCGTAGTCCAAATAAAATAATATAGAAAGGCTTGGGTGTTTATTTTTAGTTAACTATCTCTTACCTTATGCTGGTCCCTAGAAGCATGCTTGTTATATGCATAAAGTCTCATGTTCTGCTGAAACATTGAGCATAACCCAATGGCTTACCTTGATTGCACATTCATTAGCATAAGAGATACTTGTATGGTCCTTAAATGACAAACGGTTATTCATGTCCTTGACCTCCTACTATGAGGTATGACATGGTACCACCGAACAAACTGGTGGTAAAATTCAAAGCTTTAGAATGTAACTCAACTCGGTGATACAAAAGTTGAACCACTTCTTGTTGATGAGCTAGCATTGTTGATGATTCACGTTGATTCCACCTCGACATGACATAAACAATCCATTATTTCCTTAATTTCTTCTCAATGAAACTTTACGATTTAATGTGATATACCACACACTGATAAAAGTTTAAAATTCTATGCCGATGGTTAGTCTATTTACCTTATACTATCACACACACCAACCACTTCTGTATAGATAGTTAAGTTAAAACACCACAACTTATCACATGCACTATTCTACTCTTTTCCTTTTCTTCTAATAAAAGTGATTAATGAGTCAGCATATGAAACCACACATTGTTGAATCTCGTAATACTATGTCAGTGAGTGGTAGTTCAAACCTATACTACGAGGAGACATCACAAACTTACTTGACTACTAGCTGCAACTCTGAAACGCTGATTGATCCCGCTGATGGATTTTTCACTGATGCTATGTCATACTGATATACCTTCCTTATCTCAATAGTAGCTTTTGGATGATGATTAAAAGATCTATCAGTATTTTGGGTTATGAGATTTTTACAGAACTCATCTCTTCAATCATGATTACGAAAGAGGGATAAAATTTATGTATAAGTTGGAAAAACTCTCTCCGATGTCACTTTACAATTCTTTCAGGTTGTTGATATTTTCTATCGAAAAAGGTTCTCTCAATCATCATCTTCCTCAAGCTCTCGTCATGTCAAATCCTTTGTATGATTTTTTTATCCTAACACCAATGTCTTCAAAGGTCCTCATGCCCTTGATTCTCCTATTTTCATTCAAGAAAACAATGTGACATTCTATGTTGTCTTCCCAAAATAGTTCATGAACTCAGGGATTGAATATTTGTCAATTATGTCAAAATCTGCCCTCTTCGATATGCCTTCTGTGACTTTCTAGACCCATTCTACCCTAAGCAAGTATGTGAGTTCTACTATTCTTTCTTTGTTGATTCGGTTGCTCAAAGCATTACCGGAACCATAAGAGATGTTTAATCTAGGGTTACTATATTGATGCGAAAGCCTTTCAAACTACTCTTCATCTTCCTCGATTAGAAAAATACTTTGAAATTCCTTCCTAAATAAAGTGCAAATCCATTCGTGAAACACTAGGTTACATTTTTTCTCTTTAGGGCACCTCTCATGATCCATCCGAATACACTCTTCGTTACTGTTTGGTTGTAGGGTGGAAGTATTTATCAGGGGTAATCAGTAAATGTCTTGGACACAAGACTGGGAGTCTAGATCAATTGAATTTTTTTAGCAAAGAATTTTGTATTCCATGGTGTGCAATAAAAGATTGGACTTTGCTCAACTCTTTCTTGATCAATTGATTGATTGTATCACTAGGAAGAAGAAGCCATCGTATGTCCTAGATCCTCGATGGCTTGGTTTGATTTTGGCTCATGATGAATGTTATATCGATAATCATGGGTCATCATTCCAATTCTTTCCTTGTCTTCAAAGATCATCAACACTACTCCTATTGATGGAGAAAAACATATTACTAAAAAAATGGCAAAATAGATGGTCCATCCCTACTCTGTTGAATCCTTTAATTCTGAAGAAGAGGGACAATGAGGCTGATGAAGAAGAAAATGATGATGATGAACAAGGGGCTGATGAAGAAGAATATGTTGATGATGAAGAAGATGGGATAGTCACTAATAAGGGAGAAGAATATTTTCAGGGAATGAACTGTCCTCCGAGATTGAACAACCACATTAGATTCTCAACTACTTCTTCATCCACTCCCTCTGCAAATGATGTTGTATAGCATGAATCATCCCCACCTCAAGTGGAAACTACTTATCCTCTGATCCAAGATGTGATCTCTCCAAGATCAGCATCTCCATCTCATTAAGTTGAACATGTTCCTCCTATGCCAACACATCTTCACTAAAAAAAGCAAGCAAGCTCACTATTAATCAAAATGATCTAGCTAAAGAATGGGAGATAAAAATTAAGGAATATAGAGAAATTATGATAAAAAATAATGATGCCAATTGAGCTAGAAAAGAAGAATGTCGATCCATTAAACTTGCTCAGGCTCTTGATTCTGCTGATGAAATTTCTGATGTTCAAAGCACTAATGTTAAAAACAAGAATATTCAGTTTTGCAACAATAATGTGGACAAAAAACACCAAATTTCAGAGCTAAATACCAGGATCGACAAAAAGAAGTTTGGAGATGTGTTGGCTCGTAGATCAAAGCCTGATACCATCATCAGGGTAAGGTGCAATAAACCAAAGAACCAGATAATAAAGTTTCAATTGGTCTAAAAGAAGAGTGAGTATGAATATATTGAGGTTGTGCTCGCTCGTGAGCTAGTAAAATTTGGCTACAAGGAATGGGTACAAATCCAGGAAATTATTGACAAACATAAAGGTATTCATGCTCAGGTGGTGAAGTTAGCAATTCGACAGCTGCTTAACGAAGTCAAGAAGCTGAATCTTATGTCATTAGCTGGTCCTTCTAAACCGTCCACTTCAGGAAGAACAAGAGCTCCTAGAAGGTCCAAGTATACGAAGTTTATTCTTCCATATGGCACTCACTACATGAACAATGAACTGTTAGTGGGTATTGAACCAATTCAGCACATGTTCATTCGAGAACCAGAACATGGTATTTTCTATATTGATAGTTAAAACCATATGTGCTTTCAACGTATTGATGATATTCCCTTTGCACCTACCGAGCCTTTATTTCATCCTTGCATGGAAGGATTTCATCATATAGAACAGGAAACATGATACAATGTGTTGATTTCTCTTGAGCTTAGCAAAAGATTGGAAGAACTTCAAATTGATAAATTCATATGGATAAAGCCTGAAATTTTGAAAGATGTTGATAAATGCTACAATGGTTCTTTTGATGACTCTTATGAAGAAGATTAATATTGGCATCATCATATAGGGGAGAGTTTAAGGTCACACCTTATGATCTGATGAGTCAAACACTATATACGCTGATCGCCAGTGCCAACACCAACATCACCACCAACGTCAGCACCTTAAGCCTTATCAGTATCAATGTGTAGTTAGTAATCTAATGTAATCTTTGTATATTAGGTAATTATATGGTTATTTATAGAATAGATAGTAGATCTGATATCTTGGTGATAAGGATCATTTCTTAGTATAGATTAGAATAGATTAGATACAATCCCTTGATTGAAGGGATATACTACTATAGTTTAATATATATTCAAAATTAGAGTAAAACCCTAATGTGGTCGTCTTGGTGACCGTCTTTGTGACAACCCGTTTTCTTGGTGAAAGACATATTTGTGATTATTTTGTGTTCTTTACTTTTCTGTTCTTTATTTTGGATTAGTTAATTTGTTTGTTCTTTGTTAATTATACTTGAAGTGTATCCTATCGATACTAACCTTCAAGTTTGAATTTAGGTATACTCATAAATTTACAACTAAAATTAACAAATAATTTATGGTAAACGCTTAAAATGTGGCTATATATATATATATATATATATATATATATATATATATATATATATATATATATATATATATGGGAAAAGTGAATATAATCTAAAAGGTATATGAGTTTAGGTACCCAAACTCACCACACTACATCGTTCTCAAAATTTAACTCCTAACTTGATTTACATCCAAGATATTTAGAAATTTCACCATTATATTTCTATTACATAATTTTCATTTGGAACTATACTATATATACTCTGATACATGTTCAGAAGAAAGAAGTGATGTATGAGGTAGAAAATAGTCAAATTTCAAAATTATTGGAAGTAAAGCAAGTTACAAGTTGAAGTCTAAGAACATTGTAATGCATATATGATACAAAATAGCGTAGTATAGGGTTGGCCTTACCTTGTGTATAACTAAGCTAGGGCATAGGGCCCCAATTCTAAAGGGCCTCACTTAACCTAATACCTTTTAGCAAAATCTCGATTCTTCCTTCTCGTTTAAGAACCAACTATTAGCATGCTTGATAATAGAAGATGAAGAAAATGAGGTGGTTGAGGAGATGGACAAATAATTTTAGGAAAGAAGATTCAAATAAGAAATCTTTGTATAAGTCTTAACTAAACTCACAATTCTTTTCTCTCACTTCGCTCCACCTTATATCATTATTTTTGATGATCTAATTATCAATTTGTGATTTAGTTTTTAAAATGTTCCTTCTACTCGCTAGTTCTATTCTCCTCCACTACTCCTAATCCAACCCATGTAAGTTTTTCCCATTGATTAAAATTTCTTGGATATTTGAATTTTCTTTGGCGACATGAAGCGAAAATTTGGGAGACAGGAAGTCACACACAATAGAGGCACAATAACACATAATAGGAAGAGGAAGAAATGTGAAGAAAATGATGAGATGAAAACACATCACACCAATAGCAGTTAAAAAACTATTTATGTGTAATTTCTGAAATCGATAAATATGATTCGAGATTTTGGAAAGAAATATGAAATCGATGAATAGGGGGTGGATTCGAAAGCTTGTGTTTGGTATATGTGCATTTATTTTTTCATAGCTCTTTTGCACTTATTGTTGATTTAGGTTGTGTATTTTTTTTATTCTTTCTTAAGCAAAGTAAAAGATTCTAGTTTAGATGTGATTTGTGAAAGCTCTATTCTTTTGTATAGATGGTTTTCATTTCATATAGGGTATTAGATAGTTAGATATGGAGATTTAGTGTTGTTTTCTTACTATAAATGTGTTGTTTGTGACTAATCATTACAGGTAGTCCTCAAAGCATAATCACAAGTTGAAGTGTGGTGCTGTCACAAACTATTTTCAATGGTTTCTTCATTATTTTTTAGTTTTTGCTTAACTTTTGTTTCTAATCTAGTGCAGACTTAGAATTACAATGTTATTTCAACAACTATTTGGAGCTGTGTTTTAGGAGGTGTTGTTTTGTGCCTATTTTTTAAGAGCTTTAGATGGTTGGGGTACTATTTTTTTTCTAAAGAACGTGTTGTGGGATTTGGAAAGCTCATTTCTAATTTGATTTTGTCTTTATCTAGTTTGTTTGGTTGTTGTTTACTTTATCTGGAGGTTCACTATAATTATTTCATGTTCTTACTATATTGTTTGTAGGGAGTTTAGTTAGCTATCTTCATACCTTTTATAGTTGTGTTGTCACTTCACTTAATAGCGTTTGTATATATTGTATATGGGGTTGTTTGATAACAATGAAAAAATAAAATCAACTAGAATAAAATTTTAATTAGCAGCATTTGTTTGGATTTAATAAAAATAAAATGACAACTCATATTTACTTAGTCGTAATTGTATAGAATTGAAAAAACTAAAGCAACTACACCAACTCTTTACCTATATAAACATCACTGTAAATACTCCAAACTCAGTCAATACAAATGGAGTAGTGTTGACCTTGTTTTGTAGGGACATTATTTTGTTCTCTTGCCTGATGGATAGAAAAAAATGGGACAGCCTTGATTATTGTGGGTCCTAAGCCCGGATAAAGGAATATAGTTTATAACATCAAGTATAGTAAAGGCTAATAAAACAAGCTCACGTGTAAGGAAAATACGTCTAAAATGTTGTTACATAATAGTGAACCTCTAGCAATTCGAGCCAAACCAAAACCTAAGTCTAGTGCAGTCTGAGATGTGAAGACTTCTGAAGTCAATCTCCTTCCGAGATGAAGACTTATCTGATACATTATGAGATTTTGATGTTGTAGAGTCCGTACAAGCATTTAATGCTCATTGTCGTTTTTATTGATTGAACAGTTCATAGGATAAAATCAAGTAAATCGTGTGTGTTAGCTTTTCTGAATTATCAGATTTACATTCTCAATGCAGGTCTTGTATTTTGTATTATTGTCTCTCCTTCCCTGTTTAAGGAGATGATTTATCCATGCATTGTAACCTTGAGGTAGCAATATTCTCTTCACATCAAATACTCAATATCTTGCAAGTCAAATATCTTTCTCCAACATTCTTATTATTCTTAAGTTATCTTTATTTTTCTCATACCCACTTTACCATACTTAAATATCATGTTGAATAGTTTGTTGATCTTCATACTTCATGATAAGATTGGTTTACCAGACTTGACTAGACCAAAATATTAGCATTAGACATTGATCTTAAGTTAATTCAAGGTTTGAGTTTTCAAACCTTGTCCATGCACTAAGTCTTGTACATTCAATTGGTATCAGAGCTTGAGTGGTTGTACTATGAATTCATAAGAACATATTATAGTTGATCTAAGATTGCCTTGGTATCTCAATCATTTCTGTGTTCAGGATAGAAGTTCTTCTATATACCGCTTCTACTCTAATACTTTAATTAACTTCAACGGTTGCTCCTAATCAAACTCAACAAATGTATTTGATGCTACTTGCAAATAGCATGGATTTCCTATCTCATGCCCCATTGCTAGTTGTTGATGAGTATGATCACTAGAAAGTTAGAATGGAAAGATTTTTACTTGGTAAGGGAAAAGGTTAAGATATATGGAGATATGTGAAAGAAGGTCCTCATGTTCCAATAAGACAAATGGTCAGAGATGTTGATGCTGCTCTCATGGGCCTAAAAGAACAACGTCTAACACCTCTTACTACATCAGATATCAAAAAGCTTCATGTAGACCAAAATGTGTTTCATAGATGGTGTTTGGTGTTCCTCCTTCTCTTTTTGAGCACATTAAGTTGTGCAAATCCGCCAAAGAGATTTAGGAAACTCTTCAAGACTTGTTCGAAGGGTCTGAGAACATGAAGGATAAGCGTCTGACTTCTATTGTCGGCGATTTTAATACCTTCACCACAACTCCCAGTGCATCCATAGCCTCTACTTCGAGTAGGTACTGAATTCTTGTGAATAATATGACTGCACGTGGTATAATTAGAACTCCTTTCGAGTACAATATGAAGTTCATCAACAACCTCGGAAAAGGATGGGGGAACGTCAACTCATGTCTTTAGAGTAACGAAACTCTGAAGAAACTGAAGCTTTGTTAACTATTTGACGAACTACAAGGCCATGAATCTAACATTTGAAACATTCCAAAAATACGGTCCGAAAATTTCGTTCTTAATTATTAATAAAACCATCGTTATCTAATAATCACATAAAAATCATAAGTCATTGTATCTCAAAATCATAAACATCTGTCATACATATCAGAGTAAAAACATCCCCGTGCTAAAATCATGGTGTGTGCATTACAATCATCCCGAGCTCTTCCCTTTCCTAGTGGAAGTACCTGAAACCAAAACTGAAAATTGTAAGCATGAAGCTTTGTGAGTCTCCCCAAACTACCGCATACCATACACATAATCACATAATAACATATCATGGGCCTTACCCGCTTTATCGGTCCCCGCTCATCATCAGTCAATGCCTGGCATTGGGCCTCGCCCAGCATCGGATCAAAATCCGGCATCGGGCCCCACCCGACATTAAGCAAAGCTCGGTATACATATAAACATATCAATAAATAAACATATCAATAAATAAACATAAATGATAACATAAGATAACATATAAACATTCCTCAGGCCTCGCCCAACATCGAACTGAAATCCGGAAGCATACAAACATTCCTTGGGTATTGCCCGGCATAGGACCAAAATATGGAAACATACAAAACAGACATATGCAAGAATCACGAAGACATCAATCATA